GAGTTGCAAATAGCATCATGTTGCACGCGATCGAAGTTGACAGCGCATTGAATTGTCTGCTCAATAGGTCTAAAAGTACAGAAAAGAACGCTTCATTATACTCCTAGAGAGAAGGCAAGGGAGGCGTTGTAATCAGCCCGAAAGAGGGCATTCCGAATAAAATGAAGACATTCCGAGTCAAGAATGAAAGAAATAACAAAGAATGAAGGAAGCTCAAAGGCATGTCAACCAGGGCCTGTCCAATTCCATGAAAAGTGGGTCAATTCCAGACGACACATCAATTGCGGAAGCAAAAGGGCGTCATAACCTATGCGAGGGTGCAGGAAGGAGAAAGGTAATGAATTGGCTTGGAACCTAACGCTATCTGCCCGTGTTTCATGGGGGTGCTGATAGGCAAGCCCTCCTGCCCTGTAGACACTTGCTGAGAAGAGTAAAGTTGTTCACTGCCGCACCGCTCTTGGCAGTGACCTTTGGCTTCTACGTTCCCCGGGGCCAAGGTAAGCGCGAGCCCCTCTGCTCTGTCCTGCAGACGTAAAGGTGTTCGCTGTTGCACCCCTCTTGGCTGTTGACTTTTTAAATCTTGCTGTGTTCGCTGCCGCACCCTGTTACAATCTAGACAACAGGTCTACGGAGCTAGGCCCATCTTAGGATTGTGGGGGTCTAGACGGCGGGTAGGAGATGACAGGAGACAAGGAGTATCGTGCACAGATTGCGAAAGACAGGCTTTCAATACACAACCAATGTATGCCTAACCAGATGCATTGATGGCTGCAGAACCGTTTTCCCAGAGAGAGCGCGTTCTGCCAGCTCCTATATAGAACTATGAGCAACCATTCAAGGTCCCTTCTCTGCGCTCTGTGGGCCCCGGGGCGATCTGCTAACAGATCGCCATGGGCCCCACTAATCGCCCTGCTCCGTGCGCTCTCCCAGGTCTTGGCAACTAACTGCACAGAGCACTTCCTGATTGGCCGCATCCTTCCTGCCGAGAGCCCTGCCCTGAATGCCGCTCCAGCCAATCTGCAGCGGGCGGGACAACGCCCTCTGCACCTTTGAACCGGGATCGTAACACACCCCTCTTGGCTATCGACTTTTGAAATCTTGCTGTGTTTGCTGCCGCACCCCTCTTAGCTATCGACTTTTTAAATCTTGCTCCGCCTTGACTGCTTATCACACGTTGTTTGCTGAGTGTAAACAAGATTTTTGCTGAAAAGTTACAAGTTTTTTACTGAGTAGTACAAGTTGTTCGCTGCCGCACCGCTCTTGGCAGTGAACCTTTGGCTTCTCGTTCTTCAGGGGCCAAGGCAAGTAGCCTCTCTGCCCTGTCCTGTAGACATAAAGTTGTTCGCTGCTGGTTGGCTGTGGACCTTTGGCTTCTATATCACTGATCCCCGCTAAGGCAAGCGAAGTTGTAGATACTTCTTTTTACTGAGCAGTACAAATTGTTCGCTGAAAAGTACACAAGTTTTGCGGAGTACATCTCCCTCCGCCTCGATTGCTTGTCACAAGCTGAGTAGCACATACGTTTTTGCTGGGTAGTACTTTACTAAGTAAAGTACTTGCTGAGAAAAGTTGTGCCATGGGCAAACGGAAATCCGCACAAAGTTATTTGCTTCTCCGCCTGTTGCGGTCAGCAGTGCTCGCACTGCCAAGCTTGTAGCTGCTGCGGGGAGGAGCGACTTCCCTAGCGCCGCCGCGAGGCAAAGGAGTCGCGTCTGTGACGGGGCCCGCCCGATCTTGCTGTATAAAGACTTTGTGCACACATGGCAGCAATCTCTCATGCGTCTCGATTGCCTCTTCGTGCCAAAATACATGACCTGACCTCGAGAGGCAGAAAGTGGACAAACTGTGCCTTCCTTCTCGTCGTGGAACGACGGCATCTCGAAACCCCCCCCCTCCCCGCTACACTATTTGTCTAACCGTTCCCAAACGCGACCTATGTGAGGGCCTGGTCCTCCAGGCCTCCCAGACGCTCTGACTAATCAGACGCCAGTTGGGTGGATCCACCCGACCAGCCAGAGCCCCACCTTGAGACGCCCTGGAAGAATCTCGCGAGGGGAGGCTTTTGAGCTTCTTTTCCCTTTTTCCTTTAGTTTAGAATCTTCGTCTATAGCGCCCAATAGAGGAGTTCCGCCCTCATTCCAAGCCGGCCGTGACAACCTACTGATTTGTCTAGCGAGATGCAACCGCAGGCCACGGAAGCAGTATGGATCTGACACGAACCTCTCGCCTAGGGACAATGCCCGTCGCTAACAGGCAAGCAGACAACATGCGCAATACGTCGCAGAGATCTGCGACACAAACAGGAAGCTTCTTGTCAGAAAGAAGGGGGTTCTGGCACGCAGTGCCAGAACACCAAGTGGTGTGGTCAACCAAGCTGAAAAAGTGCTTCTGACACTTCTTCTCCATGGCGCCACTAAAGCGGCGATCACAGCGAAAAAGAATGAAGGAGTTTGGGTGGGTTATCAAAAATTCCGGTCACAACGGCCCCGAAGGACAATTGATAGCAGGGCGCGTCGCGGTATGCAATGCAGGCTCTTCACTATAGAGCAGGGGATTCTTGAGCTCCCTGCCCTTAACCAAGGTACGTACGAAGAAGAAGAGAAAAAAAGGGAAGAGGAAAAGCGGGAGGGTGCCAGCTTGTTATATAGCCAGAGTGGTCGGTCCGTGCACGGGTGCAAATTTTAGAGATGCACTTTGTGGCGGAGCTACCTTGCATATGACGGGGCACGTGGGCATTAGCCCCACCCTAGGGATTTTGCCCACACATTTAGTGGGGAGATTTCTTCCACGAATTAGCTTGCCAATGCACACATTTTGTCCACCCACAACAGGTTATGAAGCCCTCTCTTTCTGCTTTTGCTGGGGCCATTTGCAGCTCGCTTTCTTATACATTCGAGATCGCCTAAAAGGTTTAGTCAATTTCAGCGACCTGATCTTATTTTCTGCAAAACGCGCGCGCAAGGCAGACTTGTCCTGCACCGCATTTTCAAGGCCGTAGTTGAGCAACTGCGGACCATTTTGCCGGCATTTTCTGATTGTCTTTCTTTCTACCCTGACGGCATTTCCGATCGCCAGGATTCATCAATTGACGGCATTCCGATCGTCAATTCAGCTTCTGACGGCATTTTCCGATCGTAAGAATCAGGACTTCAGCAAGTATTGAAGTCCATCGACAACGCGAAGTCTTTCTGTCTCCCTATAACCAGTCAATCCAGTCAATCTATTCAACTACAATGAAGTCTTCCGACGTACGCGATAGTCTCAAAATTGAAGCTGTCGTCCTTCAACGTGAGAAGAACCTCTCTCAATAGAACAACTCCCTCCTTAGTGTTCTTGAAGTACAAGGGCTCGAGCACTACATTGAGGAAGAGGTCAAGGTACTAATTGCCCCCGAGAGAGCTGACCAAACAGCTCTCAATGCCTATAAAGAAAAGGTGAATTAGTGGCGCACCGAGCGAGCTTTCGTCAAGGCAGTTATCTTTCAGACCCTTACGGCGGTAGTTTAAGAGAAGCTCGAGGCACAGAAATAGAACCCTAGAGAAAAGAACCCGAAGGTCCTGTATGACCTGATTCGCCGTGTCATACCCCGATGTCACGAATCCCTGTGGATTCCCTGTGGTTATGCACAAAGGTGGGGCATGCACTTTTGGCGCGAGCTAATCAGGAGCGTTCCAGGATTCCGAGCTCTGGAGCTCGGGGGCGCGGGACAGGTCCGGCCGGGCGGTGACCCGGACGCGGGACCACGGGACAACGGAACCACTGTTATTGGTTACGTAGATAGATATATACGACGATCGTGTCCACGGTCTTAGATAGTTCTTGTTTGGTTCTTCAAGCAAGCAATACATATTCACTGCACTCATACACTTTGACTGGCATTCCGATTTGACTATATTACCCGTGCGATAGGAGCTTGCCCTTTGTCCTATCTTCATAATTACCAACCCCAGCATTCTCTGGAGCCCGTGCTCCCTTACAGACAGACGACCCTGACAGTCGAGTGGTTTGTAATACCCGACTTACGCAGGAGGCAACAACTGACTTTGTGATGGAATACATAAAGATCGATCGGACGTCGTTTACTTCTGTACAGGCCTTCTTGACTAGACTTCGATTTATCTACAAGAAGCTCGCTGAGCTCAATGTCTCTATCAGCGACAACCTCCACGTTAACGCCGTTATTGGAAAGCTCAAGAACACTTTTTTTCATGAAAGGTGCAACACGGTTGTCTGCCATTGCCATGGTACTGTGTAGTTGTCTGCCACACTTGTGTACTTAGGCTTCGCGCTTGCCTGCGGAGATTAGTGACGTAGAAGCCAGAAAGGCAAAAGTCAGCGGTGCCAGCAACAAATAACTTGAGCAAAAACTTTACTCAGCAAACAACTTGTACCGAGTCCATAGCCGGAGCGGGTACCACCTTGTGTACTACAGGGGTTCGGGCTTGCCTGCGGGGGCAAGTGATGTGGCAAAAAGTCCACAGCCAGGACCGTGCCGACGGCAAACAGCTTGTGTGCTTGGGGCTCGCGCTTGCCTTAGCGGAGGAAGCCAGAAAGGTGCCTAGGGGGTGCCGGCAGCGAACAGTCCACAGCGGGTGCTGGTAGCGAATACTCAGCAAACAACTTCTGAATCAGGCAGTCGAGGCGCGGAGAAAGATTTGAGAAGTGTACAGCCAAGGGCGGGTGCCGACCGCAAACAGCATATGTCTACAAGCAGGGGGTTTAAGGTTGCCACGGCGGGGATCAGGGACGTAGAAGCCAGAAAGGCAAAAAGTCCACAGCGGATACCAGCAGCAAACTTTGTACTTGTCAGCAAAACTTCTATTCAATAAACCTTATGTTCAGCAAACAACTTGTGCTACTTGGCAAGTACCACGTAGCAAAAGACTCGTTCAGCAAACCTTGTGTACTGCAGCACGACTTTGTGCCACTTGGCAAAAACTTGTAATCTCTATACTGCTATTGTGGTGGCAAAATAGGTGGCCAAGTAGGCCGCGAAGTAGGCTGCAAATCCTCTGTCGCCCTTCTTGTTTCCTTGTATATTCGAGGGTGCCTGTTAGGTAGGCTGTACTGATCTCCCTGCTGTCTTTTTTTTCTCGTCTTGGTTTTCTTATAATGTTTCCAACTCTTCGGTATCTTAATCTAGTATTGGCTATACTCCTCTTTCTCCCTGCCGCTCTTATCCTTATAATGTTTCCAACTCTTCGAAATCTTGCTCTGGTATTGGTTATACCATTCTTTCTCCTTGCTTCCCTTCTTATTTCCTTGTATATTTGAGGGTGCCTGTTGGGTAGGCTGTGAGGGGTTGTCGTTTAGGGATCCAGAGGTAGGCTGTACTGTTCTTTCTCCTGCCGCTTGTTTTCTTGTGATTTCCAACTCTTCGGCCTGCCTTGTTTCCTTGTGATGTTTCCAACTCTTCGGCCGCCCTTGTTTCCTTGTGATGTTCCAACTCTTCGGCCGCCCTTTTTCCTTGTGATGTTTCCAACTCTTCGGCCGCCTTTGTTTCCTTGTATATTCGAGGGTGCCTGTTGGGTAGGCTGTGAGGAGTTGTCGTTTAGGGAGCCGGAGGTAAGCTGTACTGTTCTTTCTCCCTGTCATCCTTGTTTTCTTGTGATATTTCCAACTCTTTAGCATCTTGATCTAGTATTGGCTGTACTGCTCTCTCTCCCTGCCGCCCTTGTCTTTGTAACCGAGACACCGCCGTCTTCTAATCTCTAGCTGCTCACCCCACCACACTACTCTTTGGCTGCTCACCCCCCACACCACCCCGCCGCAATGGCCTGCACCCGCTCGGGCCAATCTTCTCGGCTAACCCTAGAAAGTGACCTAGCCCTGTGGGGCAGCAGCATATACCAGGGCTAGGCAGACTGCTCACCGCCTTGGGTTTGGTGCCTCCCGGCTGGCAAGTGAATCTTAGTATGTCCAGCCATGGCAGACTTTGACGCTCGACATTGCTTGCGAGTCTAATGGTGGTGAAGAATGGCGCCAACCCTGTCATTCCTGACAAAATTGACTTCAGCCCTGAAGCCCTTTTTCAATCGTCTGCTCAGGACTCGACAATACTGATCTGGCCGACTTTGAGCCATCGACATTGCGTCAGCTTGCGAGAGGTCAGTGGAAGAATGGTGCTAACCCTATCATTCCTGACGACTTTACAGCCCTGAAACCCCTTTTCCAGTTGTCTACTTAGGACTTGACGATACTAATCTGGCTGACTCTGACGCATCGACATTGCTTGTGAGTCCAATGGTGGTGAAGAATGGCGCCGGTGTCACCTGGCCCTGAACCCCTTTTCCAGTTGTCTGCTCAGGACCCGACGATGCTGATCTGGCCGACTTTGACGTCACGACATTGCGTCAGCTTGCGAGTCCAATAGAGGTCAGTGGAAGAATGGTGCCAACCGCCTGCCATTCCTGACAAGATTGACTTTGCAGCCCCGAAGCTGACTCCTTTTTTAATTGTGCCTCTTGCTCAGGACCAACGTGTAAGGAAACCACCCTCGTAGCCACCATGGCCACCGCTACCAAGGCCACCCTCGCCACCATCGCCACCGCTACCAGGGTCACGCACTATCGCCATTACCACCCTGGCTACGCAAGGATGACTCGTAACCCCTTTCACGTGTATATAGACCATGGCCTTCGCATACCTCTTTAGCTCAGGCCAGGTTGAAGTCTTACGCTAATACCAGTCATTGCTCGCCCTGCTTGTTGCTCCCATTGTGACCACCTTGATCAGGCGTACCTGCCTTCTCTTACACAACGATACACTGGCCACGGCGGCACTAGTACTGAGTTAGCCTGTTTGGGGTCTATTGACTCCAACGACCTCTGGTCGAGAAATCGAGCCACCGTTGGCAGATGCAATAGAGAAGAGGTCATCTACGCCAGATACAAGGGAATAAGAACAGACAAGAGGGTCGTCGTCATGTACATTATCCGTTAGTCCCCCAAGCATCTGTAAGGAAACCACCCTCGTAACCACCATGGCCACCGCCACCAGGGCCACCCTCGCCACCGCTAACAGGGCCACGCACTATCGCCACTACCACCCTGGCTACGCAAGGATGACTCGTAACCCCTTTCACGTGTATATAGACCATGGCCTTCGCACACCTCTTTAGCTCAGGCCAGGTTGAAGTCTTACGCCAATACCAGTCATTGCTCGCCCTGCTTGTTGCTCCTATTGTGACCACCTTGATCAGGCGTACCTGCCTTCTCTTACACATCGAAGGTAAAACGGCGTGTCATGAGGTGATGGGAAACGAGGTTAGGGGGTGTGCCTTCAAACGCCAGGTCAGGATAGAGACCACTTGGTAGGGGAGAAGCCAGTCGAGAAACAATCAACGCCGTTATATATAAGAAGATTCGAGTCACGTCAGAGTCTACTATTATCGTTTTCCGCAAGATGGGAAATAAACCGTCTTAGACAGCGTAAAATGCTATATTTGGGATACGGAAGCCCCTAACCCAGACGGTAAAGACCCTGGGGCCGACGTGAACGTACATGAAGGGAAATCTGAAAGGGAGACAATGAGAGCTTGCCTGACGTGACCGATACCCCAATGATGCAAGGTCCCCAAGATGTGCCAGGTAAATAGAAGCGAGGTCGCAAGAACGGCTGGCCCCGAGAGCGTTTCTGGCCCACGCCTCTCTCGCGTTCTTTTCAAAAAGCAAACGACGCTAAGGCAAGGCGGCTCCCCCATTGGAAGCGACAAACGCGCCCTAAGAAAAGGAAAGAGAAAAACCAATAAAACAGACAATAAGGGGGGAATTAGAAATCTATGTGATGAAGAGTATTGTGTGTTGGGTGTGTGTTCAAGGCATTCCCCATCCTCGTTGGTAGGGTCCGACATTGCTGTTGTACATCATGCCAGGATTGTTGTACCCACCTTGCAACTGGCCACTGAACAGAACTTGTCCGAGTCCGGCACCGCTCTGAGCCTGAGCCTGTGCCTGCAGATGTTGTTGCTGCTGAGACTGCAGTCTCACCTGCAAGATGCTCGGGTCTGTAAGATCAACTAGGATACTCCCCCCGGCGGAGGATGTGTTAGCGTGTCTGTACTTCTTTCCCTTCTTCTGCTTTGAACCAAAGTGTTGCAAGGCTCTAAGCTGTGGCCCGTAGAGCGATGCCGAGTGGCTTGAGGCAGGAGCAGGGGTGGAGGAGGTAGAGGGTGGGTACTGTTGAGAAAACGAAGGAAACATATACTCACGCTTGCCCGCATCGTGGACCTGGTTGCCTGTACTTCGCCCCCGGTTTAGGAGATGAAGAATCTCGTTGGAATCCTTGGACACGCCCCCAAAGGTCGAGTTAAAACCATGTTGTCCGAACATGCTAGGGGGGGTGCCTGTCGACTTGAGCCCGGGGGGCGGTCCCCATATGGATGATGCGTAATACTGGTTGCCGGGTTGGTTGTGGAAGGACGATGGCATCATTGAGAACTGCTGTGCCATAATCCAGGGATTTGCTACAAGCCTAACCGAGATCGACGACGTCGCGTCCCTGCCGTCGTTTACAAAGCTGAAACGGGAACCTTGTCGGTTGTGGCCCTGGCCCTGGAAGAGACTCGCCTGCAAAGAGGCGCTTGGGGAAAGGTAACCGACAAAGTTGCCTTGGGGACGAATGAATGCTGGCTGCGCGGTTTGCTGAGGCGTCATGGCCCGACTCCAAATCGAGCCCAAATTGGTCGTTGACTGGCTAAAAGTAGACCCAATGGCAGAACCAAGGGGCGGCCCGAATAGTCCATCGGCGGGTGAGCGCTGGATAGGAGGTTGAGCGGTCTTACGCAAAACAAAGCCATGCGTCTCGCGGACGTGCTCGCAGTCCTCGGGTTCGCCGCCAAGAGCGAGACTACCGCTGCTTTCGGGTTCTCCCTTGGAAGGGTCTCTCGCTTCAACGGATTGCTCCGGGTCATCCGTGACGCTGAGCTTCTCGTTGTTGCGCATGGCTCTGCGTTTTGCCCCACCCCTCACATCGAAAAGAGGCGGAAATGAGACGTCGGAGTCTGCAGTGGGCCAATTGAGTGTACAGCTGTTAAGTGACTTAAGCAATGAAGCCAGCGCGTCTTGTGGGATACGTTTCGCTTTCTGGATTTTGGTTTTGGGGGACCCAGAGGCAGATGCAACCGCAACAACTTCGGTGGAAGGTCTAGCAGGGGTCTGATGTTCTTCGTATGGCGCTTCTTCAATAGCTTCCTGGGCCGACTCCGCAATCACAGGCAATGAGTTCGATATCGCGGGACTCGGGGCTGCACCGCTAGTTGCGTGGCTGCTTCTCCGGCTACGGACCTGAGGGTTGCGAGCCCAGTTGGCAGAAGACGGTAGAGCCGATCTATCGCCATTGTCCGAACCATCTTTGCTCGAGGTGCGAGCCATGGGCTGTGCTGCATGCGGTGCGGGGGATGGATGGGTCTGTTGTCTCGAAGCAGACCACGCCGAAGATAGATGGGTCTGTTGTCTCGAAGCAGACCGCGCCGGGAGAGGGCGCTGAGTGCTGATGCCATTCATCGAGGACAAATCTAGTCGCGTGTAACTATCCTCCTCGTCTCCCAGCTCGTGCAAAAACATGCATTGTCGGTTGGTACACTGCTCATGGCGAAGCCAGACCGAGCAATATTTAGTAGTCCCCAGCTGGGCTCTCAGTACTCTGTCGCCGTTCTGTGAACCGTTGACGGCTTGGATACATCGGGATGCATCTTCCTTCTTCTCAAACGTGACGTATATGTCGAGGGACTGGTTCAGGCCATCCGAGCCCTTCCGATTCCTAATCGAAATTTTCTGGATGTTGCCGTACTGGCCGAAGAACTCGGCCTTTCGAAGGGTCCTGAGAAGCTCGTCTCCGCGAACCGTCGGCGTCAGCCCGGTTACAAAAACCAGGTTCTTCCGGACGACTCGCACTCCAATGAGGTTCTTGCGGTTTTCTTTTTCGGCCTCGCGCTTTTGGACTTCTCGCTGGCGCTGTTCTGCTGCGCGCTTCTTTCGGTTCTTCTGGATGTTGGCTCTGAACTCGGCAATCCTGGCATGTGTTAGCCGGGTATGGGTCCAATAGAGTTCGGGGGGATGGCAGTTTAAGTTTACTCTTCTTGTGTCACAACCTTCCACTGAATTGTCTTTTCGTCGTACGGCCTTCGACATGCAGGACACAAACTATTCATGTTGTTCCTAATGTTGTTGAAGCAGAACTGGCAAATCTGAGGGCGCTATCAGCCACATGGTCCCGAGCATGCAAGCGAGGAGTTCTGGGCGGCTTACCTGGTAACCGCAGGGACATGGTCGGAAGTTCCTGTCGGACAAGTCGAATTCCTCGGTACAGAGGGGACTATACAGAGTTCGTGGTCAGCGGGAGGGGCAGCTGAGCAGACAAAAGCTTGACGAAGGGAGCACTGGTCGGGGGATGGATAGGACGTGGCAGGGCGTTCCATACCAGACCTCGTCCTCCTCATCGATGAATGAATCCTGTGGCGCCATGCTTGCGGTGTCCTCGGGTTGCAAAGCCGAGGGTGTAAAGCGATTCGGGGGTAATGTGGTTGCGCGAAACAGGACGGAGAAACGGAGCTGATGGTTGGGCAAAAAAAAGAATGCTGGGCGCGAATGCAGTACGGTGCTCTGGGTGCCGAGTCTAGGTAGGTATTAGGCTGCCGCAAAAAGCGGCAGGGTGGGCCGTCTAATTAGAAAAAACAAATGGCCCCTTCGGATAAAGCCCGCGATTAGCGAAGGCACAAAACCAGAGGCGTGTCCTCTGAGGATGCTTCTTTGTCGTGTTAATAAGCGGGAGGAGATGCAGTGGTGAGTGAAAAAAAGGACAGGAGGTGTGTAGTAGAGGCGGCGACGCAGAGGCGGCAACGCAGAGCCTTCCAGCAAAAGGCTCGCAGATTTGCCTAACCCAAATGGGCTAGCGCGAGGCGGCACGTGTCGCGTCACCGCACTGCGGGCAAGGCCCAAGCGCAAGCTGAGGCAAGCGCGAGGAAGGGCTAACGGGGGGACAGACAAGGCGACGACTCCAGTCATTAGATGCCTAACTTATTTGTTGCTGTAGTTATCGCATGCGATAAAAAATTGCAATACCGTTTACGGGGACGGATAGCTATCTTTAAATTCTCGAAGAGTGGGAAACATCACAAGGGAACATAAAGGGCAATGGAGAGAAAGAGCAGTATAGCCAATTTCAGAAAAAGAGTTGGAAACATGACAAGAAAACAAGGACGGCAGGGGAAAGATCAATACTGTTACGTAATAATGCCCTCCTGACGGAACTTTGCCATCAACTAGGCCACCAACGATGATCTTCGCCTCCAACCAGGCCACCAACGATAATCGGCCCCTATAGAGGCCTTGATGCCTACATTGTTGCCTAATAACGGTCTTTTGGTCAAAGGATAAATAAGGCGTTCTTTTCTTTCATTTTTACGAAGAATAGACAGACACTTGAATTAAGCTACATTGTGCACTGCAAGTACAGCCTACCTCCAGCTCCCTAAACCGACAACCCCCTCCAGCCTTCCTAACAGGCACTCTCAAACACACAAGGAATAATAACCCCCTCCTCACAGCCCACCTGATAACCCTTAAACATATGAGGAAACAAGAAGGGAGGTAGGGACAAAGAGCAGTACAGACAATATCAGAGCATGATTTTGTCTCGACTTTGTCAGAGGAGCCGTCTCTACATGTCGAGGGGTAGCAACTGCTGCAACTGCTGCAATTCGGGGCTGCTTGTTGCCTTTCTTTGAACCACTTAGACCTTCTCCCGAATCCTGCATATCTTCATCTGCAGCATTCAGGGTATTGAACTTCTCAACAATGCCCTGGAATCGGGCCCCGCCCAGCGCTATGTCTGACCGACGTCGATAAAACAACAGATATGCGGAATTGGTCACGATCCGGGCTGTGTCTTTTTGTTTCGACGCTGACGTGTCCATAAAAAGTTAGTAAGTTGACTAGTGGCCGGAAACCCGCATAGGACGAGAGCTGTGATTTGACTTACCGTTGAATTCGTACCATTCGCTATCTATGAAGTTCTTGGCAAACGCCGTGTAGTGGCCTCCTCCCAAGCTACCCCAGTGATCATGGACAGCGATCAAGTCGTATATCTCTTGCTTGCCGTCTTCCTGCTCAATCACTCGCTCCGTCAGGTCGAGCCTCTCCACAGGAAAGTCAACGAGGATATCTAGCTTGTCCCGGCGATATCCGCTGGAGCTGAAGCGCTTGAGATGGACGACTTAAATGTCCGGTGTCTTCCAGAGGTCGAATTTCTTATTAGCTCTACTATGTTCTTTGCAACGAGGACAATACCACGTATCCTGCTCCGAGAGTATTTCCTCTTTCTCGAACTCGGCGAGGCAGTCGTCCAGGGTGATGCCGTGCTTGCGTCGCATTTGCCGTTGCTTCCGCTTGGCGTCGAGACCGGGGTCTTCCAGGGTGGCGACGTCGCAATAGGTCTTCATGCTTGCTATATTGTTTGGAGAATTGCTGCTAAAGACAGCATTAAAAGCTGACTCAGACTAGTCAACTACGATACCTTCTCCGAGACGGATCAGAGGCCTGCCGTTGGGCTCCAAACCATTCTCAGGTTCGACAACTTCGATAGGTTGCCGCTCGCGGCTAGCTCGTTCCTTCTCGAAACTCTTCTTTCCCTTTTTACCGTAAGTCTTATTCAACTTCTTATTCTTTCCTCGGGCGCTTACCTGATTCTGCACCTTGACTCGCGACGTCATGTTCTATATGTTTCGTAAGCGACGCTAAGAGCGAGTTCTATATTGACGGGCTCGACGAAATGCAGGCGGGTGTTAATGGGGCACTGGAAGACGCCGGGACTTACCCGCACTTTAGGAAAGTCTGAATCCTTCTCGCTAAACTCGTCAATCATTCTAGTAACGGCGTTGTCGTCGCTACCACTCTCTTCTGAACTCTTACAAGTCCCTGGACTCCGCATCTCAACATCCGAAGCGACCATTCGAGGGGCTCTAGAGCTAAGCTTGGGCAATGTGTTGTCCTCCTGGACGGCGGTCCACCCAGTCGGGATGATATGTTGGTTGGTTTCTTCTTTATAGTAACACAACTCGAATAGGTTCTGGAACTGTGAGTTAAGAAACTTGGCAGGGTCGATCCACTTCGGCCGCTGTTTATTGAACTTTTTTAGGGGAAGGGGATACCTGTTTGAGAGTTAGCGAGGGGCAAAAAGGAAGACGAAGAAAAGAAAACGAGACGGGGGCTCCATGTTTTACTTACTTTTCCGCGGGTTCCCGGGGGGCCGGCGCTTTCCTAGCATCGCCGCTATCGCTCATAATGACGTCGACATCCGATGCTGTGTTGGCCATCTCTGGGTCCATCGCCTCTGCTACTTCTATCTCCTCTACAAGGGGGTCTACAGAGGAGAATTTTGACCACGTCGTGAAAGTAGCCACCTTCTCCAGGATCTTGCGACGAATGATGTTGTCGCTGCGAGCTTCTTTAGGAGTCACCACGATGAAATGTGATGGCGGCACCTTTCTACTACTTTTTAATCTCGAATGGCGATTCTTACGAAAGCCGGGCTCCTTTGAGCCGAGGCGGTGGAGTGGAGGGACAACCATGCGTTCTGCCATTGGGTCATCTCACAGAGAGCGGTCGTCAGGCTCGGTGTATGATAAAAGCGACTTGTACTTCTGCTTCTTGGGTTTAACCCCAGAGAAGTTTGTAGGAGCTACCTCGAGCTCATGCATCGTTGGGTTGTCGTTTTGCTGAATCTCCTCTGATATAGACATATAGTCGTCATAGAACTTGAAGAACTTATCTCGTAATTCTTCCGCTCCAAAAAGACGCTCGACGGGCACGCCCACTCGGGCCGAGATGAATTGCTTCAAGGACTTCGAGCTGGCATTTTTATCGAGCTCAATCACTATGTCGACGGGAGCGTCGTTGAGAGGAAAGTATCGGACGTTTTTCGACCATACGCTGGCAATCGGAAGCGGGAGGGTGAGATTGTTGAATGGGCCAAATGTGATACTGACCTTTTCGCAATCGGGGCACACCAGAGTCGACTTGTACATGCCAGTGAAGAGATCGGCAATGACGGAGTCGTCTCGCTTCTTAGTGATATCTCAGACCTTGGCAGCCATCTCCCAGATGGCTTCTTGGTTACCAATCATGTCATCGGTTGAGTCGGGCTTCTCAATATAGGGCTTCTTTTTGACCCTGCTAAGATCCTCTTAGAGGCCGTCTAGACGGAAGCCAAGGAACTCCTGCGAGTCCTGCTGGCCGTAGCCTGAGAATGAAGGGGCATATCTCCCGATCACGCCCTTAAAAGTCCGCGGCGCGATCGAGTTGGGTGGAGGGTCCTTGTAGATTTCGAAAAGTAGTTTCGAGTACGCCTGCGCAACTTCACCGTTGTGCAAGAGCGGGTTGTCTGGGTTGATCTCCTTTGCAGCCTCGCCTGTTAAGAAGTACCTTGTGAGCTCCTCGACGCTCTTCACGCACTGAAGCGCCGAGTTTATGTAGCAGGTATTTCCAAGGTTTTGAAGCCCAACACAGCCGATGGAACGTCCAGACTTTTGCTGTGCGCGGCCTCGCGTCAGGGGACCTTGCGACGCTGGGCTGTTGCGTCCACTGCCACGCCCTTGTGACGCTTGTGCTGTCAGAGTGCCCGAACTTCTATTGGTGGCCAGGTGCTTATCCTTAGCGCTACCGTTCTTAAAGACAGAATTGGACACAGCTGTCCCGGTCAATCTGCTCGTCGATGACGAGAACATGGTCAACCGTCAGACATGCTAAGGCCAAGTTGCTCCGGGCATTGTAGTTAGCATTGGTTGTCGTGTCCTCAGCTTCGACAACCCCACGCACCACATCTCTCTCGAGCTTCAGGAAGGTCTCGACATCAACAAGCATCTCGGGCCATGACTCTGCTGGTACGGGCGGGCCAGTGAGAATGGTATCGCCCAAGGATGGGGAATCAGGCAGAGTCTTCATGCCCAGGGGTTGAGCCGACGGCTCGGTGGCCGAGATCTGCAAGACTCTCCAGAGACGCACTTTGCAGTCCTTAGCCACACCAGTGAGCTGCTTTGCCTGCTTAAGGAAATTGTGGAACCCATAAGTGGCGCTATGGACAAGGCCAGGAGGGGCGGGCTTCTTGAGCTTGATTTCCTGGTCTATGGGGATGGGGCTGTTTGCGGCCCATAACCGGTGGATGGTGAATACCGGGGGATGGAACTCGAATTGAATGTTGGGAAGACTGGCCGAATCGACTGCTGTATTGTGCGCCGTACGCACAATAGGGACCTGTCCCTCACTCAGTCCATTATTACAAACCACTCGACTGTTAGGGTCGTCTGTCTGTAAGGGAGCACGGGCTCCACAGAATGCTGGGGTTGGTAATTATGAAGATAGAACAAAGGGCAAGCTCCTATCGCGCGGGTAATACAGTCAAATCGGAATGCCACTCAAAGTGTATGAGTGCAGTGAATGTGTATTGCTTGCTTGAAGAACCAAGCAAGAACTATCTAAGACCGTGGCTACGGTCGTCGTATATATCTATCTAAGGCGGACCAATCAGAGTCCTTGGTGTCTGCGCTCCGTGGGTCCAGGGCGCTCTGCTCGCAGAGCGCAGGGGCCCCACAGAGCGCCCGCTCCGTCCGCTCTGCTGGTCTTGGCAGCTAATCAGGCAGAGCGCTTCCTGGTTGGCCGCACCCACACGGGGTGGGGTCTGTCCGTCTCCACCACGTCACCCAATCCCGGGGCGGAAGCAGGGCGCCTCATGCACCCTGAACCAGGATCGTAACATCCATACCACGTGAGGAAGAGGTCCCAGGCGCCTTTAGGAAACATCTCAAAGTGGTCTATGCCCATGGCTAGCTTTAGCTTTACCTACTGCTGATTGCTAGCGTCGACGAAGATGGTTTGGATGATGTCCAAGTTGTCGACGGGTCCCAATGTCACCTCTAACGATGCCTTGCCTGCGAGCTTTCCTTGAGCACCAAAGGATTGGGCGCAACTGAGCCATTTCCGAGACACTAGGTAGGCAACGTCACCTTCCTGTCCAGGCGTTTCCGCGAAGGCCTTAACCAAGGCTTCAATGGCCTTCACCTGCTGGTTAAGTGGCGGTATGTCTATGGCTACCGTTAGCATACCAGGCGCCGGTACGGGGCTAGCAGCGGGGGCAGTGTAATTACCAGTCCGGAGGGGCAATTCGGCCTCGACTAGAGCTGGGAGAGCATCGTCAGCCTCTGGGGTAGGTGGGGGCACGGGCTCGCCCTTGGCTTCCTCGATAGCTTGCTGTTCTTGTGGGTTAGGTGGCGGTTGCTCTGACGCGCCGGGCACGGGAACTGGAGTATTGATCATGTTCATATCTTCCTTGGCGTCGGTGAGGTCCCCGTCGGGCTCTATGCTGAATGCTCGGCGCTTGAGCGGCGACGAGGACCGGTGGGGTATGTCCGCCGCACCTCCCATAACGGCGCGGTGGAATGAGTTGACCAGGGGGGGCAGGCTCCTGGGGCCACCGCAGTCGGGGGGCTGCACGGTTGAGGCCGAGTCAACCAAGTCGGGAGCGCGGTCGTTGTCGAGCAACGGGTCAGTCGAGGCAGCAGCGGGGGAGCTCGTGGTCGACGAGGCGTAGTCAGAGGCAGAAAAGGAGCTCGAATGCGTCTGTAGGCAAGGGGGCACGCCGGAGATTGGCAGGGAGTTGCTATGGAGGTAGGCTGGCGTGCTCAGTCCCGATGTCAGGCCCGACGTGGAGGCAGCCGAAAAGGAGAAAGACGACGGGTCGGGGTCGGGCTCGGGGTTGTGATCGTGGTCGAGATCGTGGCTGCGATGGCGAGCGAGGCTGAAGTCGGGGTCAAGGTTCGGGTTGGGGTTGCTGCCGTATTCGTGGTCGGCGTCGTCCTCTGTCGAGGGTCGTACCGAGTCTGGGTAGATGCTGATGCTGGGGGCCCTCTCCGGCTCGAGCTCCTTAGTCGACTGGCGGGTAATCCTCCGTTTCATAGTTAAGGAAGACGTTGTGATGGTGAGCTGCCTAGGCAGCTCGTAATCAACTGGCTCGACGTAACGTAGTTGACAGAAGAAGGGGGTGGAAGAGTAGCAGGACGGCTGGCGGAGCGTTGGGTAGGGGCAATGAAGAAAAAGAAGCGGCGGGCAAGGCGGAGCGGCCGAATTTTCTTTTCTTGCACCACTGCAACCTTTGGGAACCGCTGTAACCTAACAAGCAAAGAGGCAGCAGCAGCGCGCTCGTTCTGAGCTAGTTATTGCCCGGAAAAGAGGGCCGGCCAATAGGAATGACAACACAGGCATGTGGGGCAGGGACTCGCATTTGCTCTGTGTGGTGGGGTATAGAGCAACGGTCTGGTTGGCTCTGCGGGGTGCTCTGTAGCTTGGGAGCAACAGAGCAACTCCCTAATTAGCCTACCTTAGATATATACGACGGCCGTAACTACGGTCTTGGATAGTTCTTGCTTAGTTTCTCAAGCAAGCAATACACATTCACTGCACTTACATACTTTGAGTAGTATTCCGATTTAACTATATTACCCCTACGATAGGAGCTTGCCCTTTGTTCTATCTTCATAATTACCAACCTCGGCATCCTGTGGAGCCCGTGATCCCTTACGGACAGACGACCCAAACAGTCGAGTAGTTTGTAATAGCTGTCTCTGTTTGAATTACACATACTTATTTATTTACGGCACTCCTCTTTCTCGTTCTTCCACCGTCGATTTCCGCAGCGACGCTCTCGGCAACCTCTTTTTCTTCCTCACGGCAACCTCTTTCTTCCTTACAGCAACCTCTTTCTTCCTCACAGCAAGCTTCAATTACGGCTAGGGCCGTTGATTTTGCACACTCCTTTCAATATTGCCATTTATTATCACCATAATTAAGCATATAGTAGCCTATTGTAGCTCTCTTATCACGCGACGCGATTATAGTTTTACACTAAATCAATAAGGTAAACTGTTAGCCATAGTCCTTCAAAACCTATTATCCGTGACAGGTTCTCGGCCGCAACGAGGACAGAGCCGCCGCGGTCGTCGCGGGAAATTTCTTCGAGCAGCGGGTGGACAGGGCCGCTGGTGCTGGCAACCGCGACGAGCGGCGCTTATTGCTTCTTTGGTGGCGTCGATGATGGCGGGTCCTCTAGACTGTCTTCTCACTGCCGTTGTCGTCGGCGCCACCTTCGCCGCTGCCGTCTTCATCCTCGTCACCGTCCTCGTCGACGTCGTCGTTTTCTTCTTTGTTGTCTTCCTCGACATCCTCGTCGTCTTCTTCAATATTCTCAACCTCGCCGCGCTCGGCATCGTAAGTAGGCACGACGAACTCGAGCCGGATCTTCCACTCGAGACTAACGCCGCTCGTAACGAACTCGGGCGTGGCCGACACGGGGATGGTGGGGTTAAAGACGATACGGCACGCGTACAGGGTGGCCTCGCTGGCCGTGACCCAGACCTTGCGCGAAAGGCGGTGGATGCCGGCGTCGGATCGTAGGCTGAGGCTGGGGTCGACGCGTTTGGCTGACTCGAGTGCTGAGAGCACGGCGTAGCAGGGGATGTCGGCGCCCGAGAAGTCAATGGCCATGTTGTTGACCTCGCCGAGGCAGGCCGGGCGCGCCAGCATGACGACGCCGACGCGGCGCCCGTTGCGCGCAATCTCGAAGCGGTTGGCGCTCTGCTGGCCGGCGCCCGTTGCGCAATCTCGAAGCGGTTGGCGTCCTGCTGGCCGGCGTCATCCGTGGACGAGTACATCGACGTTCGCCGAGACGTGGGCATGGCACTGGGGCTCAGCAGGCCGGCAGCGCTTTCTTGGGGTCTGGCAAGCAGCTCGTTAACGTATGCGAGGAACGAATTCATGGTGGACGTAAATACGGTAGGACGCCCCGTTACCCGTCAGTAGCACCGCGATGGTGGTGCCTGGGAGGTGGAAGGCGGTCTTGGGATGCGTGCGGTTGGCGTGCGGTCAGCGTGCGGGCGGTAGGTGTAGCGTGGTCGGCGGGTGGCGGTCGGGCGGTACGTAACGAGCTATTGACTTGTTATCGCTCTGCTGTAGGCTGTTGGCTGGGCGCGAGCGGTTGCTGCGGTGGCTGCTGTGCTGTGGGCGTGGTGTCTGGCGTCGTGTGGTGGGCTGTTATGTGGGCTGCTGTGTGAGCTAGGCGGGAGCGTTGCTGCGGCTTGTCTGGTATTGCGGCGGCTGCTGGGCACACGTATTGCGAGGCTGCTGGCTATCGTACTCGCGTCTGGCGGCTGTTGTGCTGTGGGCGTGGTGTCTGGCGGCTATTGTGCTGTGGGCGTGGTGTCTGGCGTCGTGTGGTGGGCTGCTGTGTGGGCTGCTGTGTGGGTGGTGTCTGGCGTGGTGTTGCGGCGGCTGCTGGGCACACGCTGTTGCGAGGGCTGCTGGCTATCGTGCTCGCGTCTAGCGGGCTGTTGTCGTGCTCGGGCGTCTAGTTAGACTTGTTATCGCTGGGCTGTCGTGTCTGGGCTGCTGTGTGATGTCTGCTGTGCTGGCTGCTGTGCTGGCTGCTGGCTATCGTGCTCGCGTCTGGCGGGCTGTTATGTGCTCGGGCGTTTTTCGGACTTGTTGTCGCTCGGCTGTCGTGTCTGGGCTGTGTGTTGCTCGGGCTGTTGAGTTGCTCGGGCTGTTGTGTTGCTTGGGCTGTTGTGTTGCTCGGGCTGTTGTGTTACCCGGGCTATTAGACTTGTTATCGCTCAGATATCGTGTCTAGGCTACTATGTGGTGTCTGCTGTGTAGTATCTAGGCACTATGTGGTGGCTGGACGCGCTGTTACTGGCTATTATGCTGGCTGCTGTGCTGTGGACTAGTGTCTGGGCGCGAGCGGTTGTCGCTGGCTGGGGCGAGCGGTTGTTGCGGCTTGTCTGCATGTCGAGGGCTGGTGCGGCTTGTCTGGTGTCGAGGGCTGGTGCGGCTTGTCTGGTGTCAAGGGCTGCTGCGGCTTGTCTGGTGTCGAGGGCTTCTGCGGCTTGTCTGGTGTTGAGGGCTGCTGCGGCTTGTCTGCGTTTCGAGGGCTGCTGTCTGGGCTGGGGGCGAGCGGTTGTCGCTGGCTGGGTGCGAGCGGCTTGTCTGCGTGTCGAGGGCTGCTGTTTGGGCTGGTGGCTGAACGCGGCTGTTGCGGCTTGCTTGCGTGTCGTGGGCTGCTGTGCTGTGTGGTGTCGTCTTGTCGCTGTGGGCGTGGTGCTGTGTAGTGCTGGCGTCGTCTTGTCGCTGGCTGCGGGCGTGGTGTCGTGTTGCCGTTGGCTGTTATAGGCGTAGTGCGTAGTATCTGGCGTAGTATTGCGGCAGCTGTATTGTGTGTGGTATCGTGTTACGCCGGCCAATCCCTGGTCGGGGATGGCCCTGCAGAATATCAAAGGTAACCTTTGGGTCTGACCGGTCGGCACGGATTTGAACGACTGTAGGATTAGCAATGTGAGGAATGAAGCCGCCTTGCGAGGGCTACAAACCACCTCTGGTATTCTTTCCTCGTGGTAGCCCTGTCAGGTTTTCCACTATCCCCTCAATATATACCAGAAGCATGCACCCCCATTCGAATGCCGATTTTCCAGCCATGTGAATGAGGCCGCCTTGCGACGGCTACAACCACTCGGTATTCTTTCCTCGTAGCCCTGTTCCTCCGAAGTGTCCCGTTCGAATGCCGATTTTTAGGCTTCTAAGTTCTCGTGGCCCTGTCCCTCCAAAGTGTCCCGTTTGACCAATTTCTAGACTTCTAAGGGCCTGATCGGCTCGCCGTTGCGGTGTCGTTGCGGTTGGGAAAAGATACGAGCCATGTGCATAATTAAAGTGGAGACACAGCCAATGTACCCCGAAACCCCCTGTAACTAGGCTTTTCCTAATTAATCATAGTCCCGTGTGACTTCCGCCCTGTCTTCCCGCAATTTTTTGACCAAAATACAGCCACGACAGCAACCCACCTATCGTCAAGATGCCCAGAAGACCCCGCATCAGGGCAACCGCAGTAGAGTCTCCTGCTCCTGAGGCCTCTATTGTTGTTCAAGCCGATGACCTACCCTCTGACGACGGCCTGCAAGCCTCCGATGACGGCCCTACTTCCGAGCCGACACCTAACGCGTCTTCGTCGACCCCGCGTACGAGGCGGAGGAAAATCATCTACACAACCGAAATGCAGGCGAAGATTATCGAGTTATTCCGAGACGAGGCTATCGCTGGAGCGTTCCGTATCAACAAGTTCACCGAGACGCGGCCGGCATTCCAGAGGATCTCTGTTACAATGGAGGAATCCTTTCCGGACTTCCACTGGTCAGCAGAGAAGATCAGGGACAAGTACGATAACGAGAAGAAGCGATTCCGAACGATCAAGACCTTTCTTAACAAGTCAGGTGCGAAATATAACGAAGAAGAGAGGATGGTGGAAGGCTCTGTGGAAGTCTGGAATAACTTCCTTTTGCAATATAAGAATGCTGGATGGCTTCGGACTGCTCGGTTTACTCTGTCAGACTATGAGACGATATACGCCAACCAGTCTGGTCATGGCCGTAACATTATCCGCGCGAGTAATGCCTTTCGCCCCTCTTCTACGACGCCTGACGACGAGGGCGAGGGCGAGGGCGATACCGAGGATGCCATGGTCCTGAGTACGAGCTCAGCTACTGATGCTAACTCTCGCCAACCCTCTGTGGCGCCGTCGTACCAGAGGGTTCGGAAAGCCAATACAAATCCAGAGGTATTAGCACTGGCCCAGAGCCTCGATAAGCAAGCTGAGGCCTCTATGAAGCAAGCTGAAGCTATGGTTAAGCAGGCTGAGGCCATGCTTCGCCTGAAAGGGCAGGATGAGATCCAGCTTGCGATCAAGGACTTTATACACAACTTCTCTATCCAGTTAAGCCCCGCAGAGCGTGTAACGTGTATCATGCAGCTAAAAGAGCACTCAAATGCTGTTGTATGGAACACTGTAGACCGGGATATTAAAGAGGCTCTGACCGAGTCATGGAAGACTAGCTAGAAATCCCGCTCCCTCCATAGAACCTCTGCAATAGCATCCCGGATATCCTTACTATACCGACTCCTAATTATCTGCTCAGCATACCGACAAGCCTCTTGTGTAGCCTCAATTACTAGCTCTTCATCGCTGGTGTCAAGAAGGAAGTTATGGATACCAGTGACTGCGTACACAATCTGGACCTGGTTTCGTATCGAGTACTCTGGCGCAGTAGCTTGGATAATCTTCCACTTCCTCTTTAGAATACCGAATACCTTCTCAACGATAACCCGAAGGCGTGCGTGCCGGATGTTATATAGTTCTTTTGCTGTGGTCGGCGGGTTTTTGGCATTCCTCCAATCCTCGAGGTGATATCTGACACCATTATAAGGTGTAAGAATCCCTACATGCCTACCAAATGCAGCGTCTGCAAGGTAGAACCGGCCCGAGGGGACCGCAAAGTCATTCGCAGTAGCGATGCTAAGGAGCGTAGAATCGTGTGTTGAGCCCTCAGCACCAGCGAGTACGTACGAGAACGCACCATCAAATCGGACTGCGGCGAAGACGTTCTGTGCGATAAAGCCTTTCCGGGTTCGCCACTGGTGTTGCTGAGGCTCTGGACTGAAGGCGTGGATATATGTACCATCAATGGCCCCGATACAACCGTAGAATGCATCGTCGATAGACGGGTCGAGCCAGTCATCGTCTTTTGGCTTGACGAATGCGCAGTGTAGCTGTACGAGCTTGTCCAGTAGATCCGTCATAACAGAGCTCACAGTAGACTGGCTGACTCGGAACCGGTGGGCAGCATTACGCTGGCTCTCGTCGTGGGCGAATATCCATAGCACGATCATAAGCTTTAGCTCGGCTGTCAGATATCTGGACCCCTTAAGCCCGGTATGCTCTTGTAGCCATGTAACCAATCGATGGAAAGCGGCCTTTGGCATACGAAAAAGATCAACGAATTGGGTATCCGAGCTACTGAGAATCGACTCAGCAAGATGGCAGGCCCCCGAGGGCTCCTCTGGGTGGATAATATCGCAGTCGCGTGGCCCTAGTAGTCGACGGCGATCAACATACTGTAGGGCTACATCCACTACAGCTTTCGTGATGACGGCGTTGAGCAGAGGGTTATTGATGGAAGCCATTGGCAGCAGTACGTAGGATCTCGACGGTACGGCAACCCTTCTCGAAGAAGGGTTGCCGTACTGTTGGGAAAAAGCCAACCATACTAGATTTGGCTGTGCACTATACCATATGAAGGGCGTTGACCAGGGTGTCACGAAGAGCCCCGCGAAGATACATTGCATAAATCGAGACGGATCGTTCCGGGCGCTCGGCCTCAAATTTAGTCGATAAATGTGGGAAATTACCACTCGATTGGGGTTAGTGGCCTTGCAAGGCCCCCTGCGATTTTTTTTTGTGCAGGTTTTCCCAACCGCAACGACACCGCAACGGCGAGCCGATCAGGCCCTTAATTCAACAACTTGAAGTGGTTCACAAAGGTCTCCCGGCTCGCGAGAGCGTGGCGGTACGCCGGGTTGGCTAGCCACATAGCCAAATCCTTCTCTAGCGGTAATATACAACTTTCGGTACGTAACAACGGCTCAGGCTTCCGGAACCTACATCTCAGGCAGGCTTCTACTGTGAAAGCAGTCAAATACACGAGGCAAAGCTACAAGTAAATAAGGGCTAAATTTATAAAGTAACTAAGTTAAGGAAAGAAAAGGAAAAGGAAGAAGCCTGCAAGCCTGCAGGCTACGGTTCTTGGTGGTAGGGTGAGGTCGCGTGGTCACGTGTACGCTAGTCCTAATCGGGAAGAGAGCTGCAAGTGGGGCTTGCAACTTAGCGCATGGTCACGGCACCACAGACCATAGTTCAGCCGTGCCGTAACATCTACAACATCTCGGGCAAGCTTCTACAACATCTTGAGCAGGTATTACAAACCACTCGACTGTTAGGGTCGTTTGTCTGTAAGGGAGCACGGGCTCCACAGGATTCTGGGGTTAGTAATTATAAAGATAGAACAAAGGGCAAGCTCTTATCGCACGGGTAATACAGTCAAATTAGAATGCCACTCAAAGTGTATGAGTGCAGTGAATGTGTATTGCTTGCTTGCTTGCGAGATTAAACAAGAGCTATCTAGAACCGTAGGCACGGTTGTTGTATATATCTATTTACTGGACCAATAACAATGGTCCCACTGTCTCGTGGTCCCGCGTCCGGGACGCCGGTCCTCTGGAGCTGTTCCGTGTCCCTGGGCCTAAGTGCTCAGGACCCTGAGACACCTCTGTGTTACGATCCTGGCACAGGTGTGCAGGAGGCGCCTTGAGCCCCCCTGCAGATTGGCTGGGGCAGCCAGGTGTGGTAGACCCACCTAGGGGCTGGTGCAGCCAACCAGGAGGTGGTCAGTCACGACGGGCCGCTTAGGCCCGACTGACCACCACTGGCAGGATGGTCAACCAGTCAGGAAGCGGTCAGTGTGATCAGTGCGATCAGTGTAGACTGATCGCAGTGATCGCTCTGACTTTTGGAGAAGGACTCTGATTGGTCCGCCTTAGATAGATATATACGACGACCGTAGCCACGGTCTTAGATAGTTCTTGCTTGGTTGTTCAAGCAAGCAATACACATTCACTGCACTCATACACTTTGAGTGGCATTCCGATTTGACTATATTCCCCGTGCGATAGGAGCTTGCCCTTTGTTCTATCTTCATAATTACCAACCCCAGCATTCTGTGGAGCCCGTGCTCCCTTATGTGAGGACCCGTCCACCAAACTGGCCCTCAAGCAGCCAGAGCCGCCCAGAACCCCCGGGCCTATCAGAAGTCTCCTCGAGGCCCCACCTACCCCACTGATAGATGAAAACTTATTCGCGAGCACGCGACGCGTTGTCGGACTTTTCCTTCTTTCCCTCCTCAGTTTAGAATCTTCGTCGATAGCACCCAATGGACTGAGTTAACCTCAATGCCTTGCCCTGGTCGTGACACCTTACAGACAGACGACCCTAACAGTCAAGTGGTTTGTAATACTCTGATTGGTCCACACCAAACAGGGAGTGCCCCACCTTCACGCATTTACGCAGGGATTCGTAACACCACATTGCCTAAGCGGCGTGAAATTGCCGAATTTTCGCCTACAACGCCCTGGCGACACACACAAAAGCCCACGCACTCTTGCCCACAACACCACGAAGCACTTGTCACGGCCGGCTTGGAATGAGGGCGGAACTCCTCTATTGGGCGCTATAGACGAAGATTCTAAACTAAAGGGAAAAGGGAAAAGAAGCTCAAAAGCCTCCCGTCGCGAGATTCTTCCAGGGCGTCTCAAGGTGGGGCTCTGGCTGGTCGGGTGGATCCACCCAACTGGCGTCTGATTAGCCAGAGCGTCTGGGAGGCCTAGAGGACCAGGCCCTCACAGACACGGCTTTTTTTACTGAGCAGTTTGCTGAGAAGTATACAAGTTGTTTGCGGAGCAGTACTTTCCAAATCTTCCTCTAACCCTCAATTACACATCATAAGTTCGCTAAGAACAAGTTTTGCTAAGCAGCAGTGTTTTGCTGAGTAAAGTTGTTCGCTGCCGGCATAGCTCTTAGTTGTGGACCTTTGGCTTCCATGTCACCGGCAAGGTAGCCCTTCTGCCCTGTAGATACTTGTATTTTGCTGAGAAGTGCAAAGTTGTTCGCTGGCACCCGATCTTGGTTGTGGACTTTTCAAATCATCCTCCGCGCCTCACAAGTTCGCTAAGTAGCATATAAGTTTCAGCTACGTAGATACAAGTTTGCCAAGTAAAGTTGATTACTGCTAGCACCCGCTGTGGACTTTTTGCCTTTTTCTCAGCGATAATCCCTGCAGGCAAGCGCGAACTCCCCCAGTAGTCACAGTCTACTGTTGGTACCCTCTTAACTGTGGACTTTTTTGCTAAGAAGTGCAAAGTTGTTCGCTGCTGTACCTGCTCCAGCTGTGGACTTTGCCACGTTTCTAGGGGCCAAGGCAAGCGCGAGCTCCCCTACCTTGTCCTGTAGAAGTATTCGCTGCTAGCACTTGATCTCGGTTGTGGACTTTTCAAATCTTCCTCCACAAGACAACTTCGCTAAGGCAGACAAGTTTGCCGAGTAAAGTTTTCTGCTAAAAGTTTACAAGTTTTTACTGAGTAGTGCTAAGTGGTATATGAGTAGCACAAGTCTTTTGCTAAGTAGGAGATAAGTTTTTTACTAAATATGAGTTTTTACCGAGTAGCACAAAGTTGTGCTAAGCAGTATATAAGTTGTTTGCTGAACACAAGTTCCCCGCCAAGGCAAGCGCGGTGTAAGAGAAGGCAGGTACGCCTGATCAAGGTGGTCACGATGGAGGGAACAAGAGGGCGAGCAATGACTGGCATTAGTAAAAGACTTCAATTTGGCCCTCGCAAAGGAAGGTGGGCGAGGGCCACTATTTATATACATAGTTGGTGTCACAACCAGGGCAAGGCATTGAGGTTAACTCAGTCCATTGGGTGCTATCGACGAAGATTCTTATTACAAACCACTCGACTGTCAGGGTCGTCTGTCTGTAAGGGAGCACGGGCTCCACAGAATGCTGGGGTTGGTAATTATAAAGATAGAACAAAGGGCAAGCTCCTTCCGCACGGGTAATACAGTCAAATCGGAATGCCACTCAAAGTGTATGAGTGCAGTGAATGTGTATTGCTTGCTTGAAGAACCAAGCAAGAACTATCTGAGACCGTGGCTACGGTCGTCGTATATATCTATCTAAGGCGGACCAATCAGAGTTCCTGACTCACATGCTCAGTCGTGCTCAGTTCCTAGACGCACTGATCCCTACTGAGCTCCCCGCTCAGTGCGCTCAGTGGGTCTCCGGCACTGAGCCTACTGAGCTCCCCGCTTAGTGCGCTCAGTGGCTCTCGGCAATGGCCCCACTGAGCACTCCCTCATTGGGTGCATCTTTAAGCGAGAGCCCCCCACCTTAAATGCTGTTCCAGCCAATCCACAGAAGGCGGGCAACGCCCTCTGCACCTTTGAACCAGGATCGTAACAATTCTAAACTAAGGAGGGAAAGAAGGAAAAGTCCAACAACGCGTCGTGTGCGCGCGAACCAGCTTGCATCTATCAGTGGGGTAGGTGGGGCCTCGAGGAGGCTTCTGATAGGCCCGTGGGTTCTGGGCGGCTCTGGCTGCTTGAGGGCCAGTTTGTTGGACGGGTCCTCACAGTTATAGCCGTATAAGGCCTCGAACGGGCTTACCCCGATGGTCACGTGTATGCTATTGTTATACGCGAAATCTGCCTTATGGAGTAATGGCGCCGTATGTGGCCTCGTGTTGTGATCCTTTTGGTAGTTATAGAAAGCGTCGAGGTTGAACTTTTCGAAAGAGGTAAAATGGCTAATTAGAAAAAGTAGAAAAAGTGGAGTACTGGTGGTGTGATTTTTGTGATTGGAAGAAGAAAATGTGGGGCGATTTTTGTGATTGGAGGAAGAAAATGCGGATACTGGTGGTCCGATTTTTGTGATTAGACAACAAAAAGAAAAAGTAGGTACTGGTGGCCCGATTTTTTTAATTAGTCGAGACTGATGTGAATGATGGCCCGATCTTGTGATTAGATGGCAGATTGGTGGCTCTTGTGAATTGCAAGACTGAAGATGGCATACAAAGGGAGCACGACAGCCAGACAAGCCGCAACAACCGCACGCGTGCAGCCACCACGATGCCACGCCCAAAGCAGCCCCGCACCGGTTGTGCCTACCCGCCCCATGTCAGAAGGAGCTGCATCTAAGCCACATATAGGCGCAGGTGGCGCACATGCTAGACCGTTTACAGCCTGAACTGTGTCAGCCGAATGCCGCATAACTATGGTATTCAGGTTATGCCCACCTTTCTGAACCTTCCGAATACAAGCACTTTTTGCCCTCAATTGATGCAGCGTTGTTTGTGACAATTAATAGTCTGAATACGCGCAACGCAGCCGAATTGCGCCCTCAATCGCTACAACGCTCACAGCACTACAAGAGTGAAGCTAGACACATTCTAGACACATTCCAACATACCCGCATCGAACCTACCGTCCTGCGCGACCGTCAAATCCGGCGCTTTACCCCGCTCAATGAAACACGCGCAAAAAAAAAAAAAACCTCACCATGTCAACAGACACATTCTTCGCCGGCCCCAGAGACTGGCCAGACTGGCCGCGTCATTCAGGTCCAAGGCTAGGGACCTAATCATCTGGGAATTCGTGGACCATGCTCAACAGCCGCCGCTGCTGCCGCCGGTCAGGCCTACGGCCCCGGTCATCACCGACTACTCCGATACAGTACCGCCGGTTCAACACGCACGACAGCTCACGGTAGCGAACCGTGCCGTGTTCAATGACGATTACCGCCGCTACGAACTTGATCCCATCATCAAGGTTAAAGCCATGCGGACACACGCCGGGCTCCCGGCATTCCTTTGGCTCTGAATTGTTCACGCAGCCGTTTACCTCTACAACCGGACTCCAAGGCAGGGCACAAACTAGAAGTCCCCGTACGAAGCCTTATACACCTACATCGCTGTACAAGACGGCATTCCGGGCTCGGCACGCCTTCCGCACCAGGCTCACCTCAGAGCATACGGCTGCAAGGTGTTCGCGATGACAAGGGATGCCAAGAAAAAGAAAAAAAGAGGCAGAAGCTGGACCCGAGAGCATGAATCGGTTACCTAGTTAGGTACCGATCTAGCCACATATATGAGGTATGGGTACCACATATCAACGAGGTAATATATACCCGTGATGTGTTGTTCAACGAGGAGCTTTTCTTCGATGGAAATAAGGAGACCCTGAAGGATGACTCCTTTGCATAACAATGGAGGAATTTGAAGTATGGCTTCGCACCGCGCATATAGAGAGCGTGCTGCACTCACAAGACAGGGAAGCAGAGAGCCCTCAAGGCGAAGACAAAGAGCTCACTGAGCCCGGCGCACAGTTGCACGATGATGATGAGGCTGAGGATGTTATTTACGTTAGCGGGTCCGGGGTAGATGACTCTCAGGACCAGCTGCAGGCCGGTCAAGACTACCCGCCGGACCCGGCCGCTCAAGAAGAGAGCCTGCCGGGCGAGTGCGTGCCCGCCAGGACTGATCACCCTGACACGGAAAAGCCGCACTCGTACCTTACGCCCGTAAGCACACCACCTCCCGCCGCAGCACTAGCCGCCGGGTCATTCGGTGACCTCCCTGACGAAGGAATAAGGGGGTTAGTAGGCCCTCGCCTCTCTTCTCAGGACCAACAGTGGGACATTTACCACCCCCAACAAAGCTGGGAGGCAACTTTCATAGCAGGGCGCCTCGCCGGGAGCATCGGCACGGTGAACGGGAAGCCCATCACAAAGGCACAAGTGCGGAAGCTCATAAGCCGGGACCGTGCCGAGCGCCCCGAAGCTCAGGGACCGGTAATGCCGGGCCTGAGAAAGAGCCCAAATGGGCTCTACCATAGGAAAGACCTTCCGCCCCTCCAAAGACCCCGGCTGACTTGAAAAACCATCTAATGGCTAAAATGCTTCGTGAAGGTCAGGACCTGCACCTTCAAGGGCATAGCCTGCTATTACACCAAGAAAGGGGTGATTATCTTTTTCTATGTTGACGATATTGTTGTGGCGTACCGGAAGAGCTCTAAGCCAGCCGTTGATCTCCTCATTCGTGAGCTGACGAGCGTATACTCTCTGCAAGGCAAGGAGGCATTGAAGTGGTTCCTAGGGATTGAAGTTATTCGGGACCAGAAGAATCGCTTAATATGGCTCTCGCGGGCAGACTTTATTGCTAAGCTAACCAAGCTGCTCACTAATCGGAAGGTCCGGCTGACTGATCGGTCCAAGAAGGCACTACAGGTGCCTATGAAGCTGAAAGAATGGCATCCTTTTGAAGGAGATGCATCACCAAGCGAGAGGCAGTTATTCCAGCGATGTACCGGGTCCCTGTTGTATGTCGCCGTCATCACACGACTAGACATTGCCTTCCTAGTATTACGATTAACACGCTTCAACCAAAATCCCGGACCAGAGCACCAAGAAGCAGCAGACGAAGTCATTGAGTACTTACTCGGCACCTCACACTACGCCTTACAGCTCAGGGGTGGTGATGCCCTCGAACTATGGTCAGACGCTCCCTTCGGAGACAACACCTTAGACCAGAAGAGCTCATAAGGTTACGCCATCAAGCTGTTTGGCGGCATCGTAGCCTAGCGAGCAAATAAGCAGGACACTGTCACCACATCAACAACTGAGGCAGAGCTGCTCGCGCTTGCTCAGGTCACCAAGGAAGGTCTTTTACTGAGCCGATTACTCACCGAGCTAGGCATCACGTTTGACGACCCGGTCCTACAAGTGTGGTGTGACAACATGCAGATATTACAAACCACTCGACTGTTTAGGTCGTCTGTCTGTAAGGAAGCACGGGCTCCACAGGATGCTGGGGCTGGTAATTATGAAGATAAGAACAAAGGGCAAGCTCCTATCGCACGGTAATACAGTCAAATTGGAATGCTACTCAAAGTGTATGAGTGCAGTGAATGTGTATTGCTTGCTTAAAGAACCAAGCAAGAACTATCTAAGACCGTGGCTACGGCCGTCGTATAAATCTATCTAAGGTGGGCCAATTAGGGCGTTGCTCTGTTGCTCTCATTGTGGGGACACAGCACATTGCTCTGTTCTCCACACGACAGAGCAACTGTGGGTCCATCTGCTCTGTTCTCTACACGACAGAGTAACTGTGGGTCCACCTGCTCTGTTCTATACACGACAGAGCAACTGTGGGTCTATCTGCTCTTCGTCGACGAGATTGGCCGGGGCGGGTCCCGCCGCCCCTGCCCCGCCTTCAAACCAGTACAGATAGAGATTCGTGACACAAAGACGTCGCGAAGTTACAGACGAAGCTACGGCACGTTGACATTCACAACCACTGGCTTCGTAAGGCAGTTGGAAGCCAAAAGATCAGGGTTGAGCATGTCCCTACCGCAGATATAATCGCCGACGACCTGACAAAAGCCCTCGGGGGTGACAAGTTTAAGGCATTCAGGGGACAGGTCGGGATTGTTGACATGGCCCATAGGTTACACGGTTGTGAGGCAAGAGTGATCACCATGACCGACTTGCAGGAAATTCAGGCACAAGTTGAATAGTTGGAGATAGAAGAAAAGGGAGGCGAACTGATATCTAGAGGACATCAACACCAAGAAATCATCACCACTCCTCATTCGGGCATTTTTAGGACTTCAGGTCTAGCCTAATAGGCAGACCTGGGGGGATGTTACGTAATAATGTCTTCCTGACCGAATTTGGCCATGGCCACCAGCTTTGAAACCAACAACGCTTCCAACAAGGCCGAAACGATGATGGGCCCAAATAAAGGCCTTGAGGCTTACATTGTGGCCGAAATATTCGTCTTCTGTTCAAGGGATAAATAAGGCATTCTTTTCCTCTTTTTGTTTCTCTGCAGAACTTAGATCAGAACGAATATGCACACTTCAATTTATTCTGCTTTGTGCGCAACACATGCTTCGTAGCTGCCCCTCCTTAGTCGAGTTATCCCGTCTTGATCGATGCAATGCCCGTCTATCTACAGGTCTCGTATCCGAAGCCGAGCGTTAGGCAGATAGCGTCCTCCACAACGGGCTCGACCTTCTCTCTCAGCTGGAGGCTCCACTGCACCGGCGAGACAACTTGAGACCCTCTAGATACCTATACGTAGCTCAGGGCGGCGTACGGAGGAGCTGCACTAAATGTGTAGGCGAAATCCCTAGGGCGGGGCTAATGTACACGTGCCCAGCCATGCGCAGGGTAACCCCGCTACACAAAACCTGCCGTGAGCATGCATGTTAGCAGCGTGTTGCGTTGGGGCTTAGAGTCGACGTCTTCCTGCCCTTCACCTAGAACAAAAGTCCAACTGCCAGTGCCAAGTTCTGTAGCCATACTGAGGCAACACCAAACTTGTAGAGTCCAACTTTCAGGGCGAAATTCCACAGTGGTAGTCTTGTTTTTTTTTCTACGAGAAGAAAAGCAACATGATGCAATAACAGCAAAGTATTGGCCCGCTGGACCTGAGATTTCTTGTCTATCTGCTTTCTGCGACTGCCCTTCTCTTTACCTTACCAACTGCCTTACTGTTCAGTCCAGTCCAACGCGAGGGTTGCTAATGAAGTACGATTCCAAGCTATTGTCATAATGACAACTCAACTATAGAACGACTAGACTTCACTCGTAGTTGCTCCTCGAGCTCAATATCTGATCGCCTACTTCTCGTCGTCGACCAAAATGTCAGTTTCTCCGCGTCCCGCTTTGACAAGAGTAGGTAGGCTGTTCAGGTCCCAAAAACTCCAAGAGACAAAGAGAGCGGAGGTGGTATTCTTGCGTGGGAACAAAGTCCTCTCCTTGTCTCTCTCACAATGCGGCTGGATGCTTAGGCCGACTGCTTTGCCAGCACATCAAGCTCCTTCATCACGTCCACCTTGGTCTTAATCTTCTTCACTTGCGTGTCCTCGAGCTTCTCGCCGGACGCATAACGCATTTCCAAATCTTTGATTGCGCGCATCTTCTTCTGAAGGCCCCTAATCTTCTTGGCATTAGCACTCTGGTTGGCCGCCGTAGCAGGGTCAACCACTTGGACAACAGGCGAAACCAGTGCGATAGGAGTAACGAAAACAGGTGAGTCCGGTGCAATACGAGTAACAGGAGCACTACCCTATTCGTTTAGTGGGCTCGACCGCGGCGGCGCAGCCCCTTTCTTTGCCTTCTTGTTGCGCTTCTTCTTATTCTTAAGCGCAGTCTTGGATAAGCCCTCGTCTTCCTCCATCGCGGCTCCCTCAGCTCCTAGAATTCGACGGCGCAGACGTCCAAATCCGCTAGGTCCGACCGATAAGGTGCCGTTGCCGACAATGTAGGCCGCACCACCCTCGTCCTCACGCTTAAAGTGCAGCGGTGTCACGGTACCCCGTGCGCCAGGGGGCCGGTAGACACCCGCCGGCTTAGACGGTGTCTTGACCGTGTCCAAGTACGCTAGGGCCGAGGCATGGGGAGCTGGCACGGGATGCAGAGCATCTCCGCTCGGCAGACTCTCGAGCGGCGCGGGCCGCCACATGACGTTGTACAACTCGACCATCTCTTGGTTGTACATGATGCCGCCAGTTACATGCCAGAGCTTCACGCCATTGTCGACACGGAGGCGTGGAGAAGTGGTGGCTGTCAGGATGTAACGGCTGTCCGGACTCCAGGTGCACACGCTGGGGTTCCCGCTCTCGATTGTCGTCACCTTGCGGTGGTCCTTTTCGAGATCATAGACATCGATCTGACCAGCCAAGTTGCCAAAGCCGGCGACAAGGACGAACTGGCCAGTAGGCGAGAAGATCAGAGTATTGCGGGGCGCGAGGGAGAAAGAATGCGTAACCACGGCGCGGTGGTTGAAGAGCGTCGTCTTGGCAGGTGTAAACCCGTAAGTCACGGCGAATTCTTTCGAGTTCGGAGACCAAGCGACATCGTGGATGGGGCCCTCCTTATCCAGGATTACGCGGGCATCGAAGGAACCATTGACGCTCAGCAGGTACATATTTGTCTCGCCATAGTAGCTTTTGTTAGACTTGTCTACCTCTATCTGGGCAAGCACAATGAGGTTTGTGCCGAGCGCGTTCCATTTAAGCTGGACCTTGTCGCCCCTAGAGAATGTCTTCTGGGAAATCGGGGTAGCGAATTGCGGCATATTGAAGACCTTCACTCCGGCGAGTTGGCCCTTAACTCCGGCGGGTTGATCCTGCAGAACAAGAGCGTTAGTTTACGGTAATGGAACAAGAAATTGTGCGAGTCTTACTTTGCGCTCGGGCACGAAAACAGCAACATTCTGGTTCATTCCGGGGGCGATAGCAAAGTCGGTCACGCCTTCGGCGCGCAGCTTGTTCCAGACGGTAGTCAGGTCGTCGCCTTGGTAGAACTGGACTTGATTGGTCACGAGACGGGCGCAGAACTGCTCGTCGGCCGTGTACTGCAGATTCCAGTTGGTCATGGACTTTTGGACGAATTTGCCAATGGGTTGCTTTTCGGCACCCTCCTCGACATGTTCAATGACACGCCAGATCAAGAGGTTCTTGGTGGCGTCCCCGTTCTCGTCCATGGCAGAGCGCTCCCAGGTGCTCAAGTACGAGCCGCGGGGCGAGAAGCTGAGATCGTAAACGGTCGGGATCGGCAGCGAGGTCAGCACATGACCGACCGAGGCGTCGACAATCGACACGCCCTCATCAGAGGCGTAGGCAAAGTATCGGCCGCATGGCGAGTAGACACAGCACCGGAGGTTTCCTCCAGGCTTGTCGAACCCAGGGAGGTCTTCGTAGACAGGCGCGGCATCGAAGACGCCGATGGCCTTCTGGGTTCGGTAGGCAAACTGCAACGGACTGGCCATGACGAATCAAAGTCACAAATGGTCGCGATGACAGAGTGTATCGAAGTTTCTTTTTTTTTTCTTGTTTCCTAAATGTTTTCGCCGCGGGGTCGAGCTCGTCGCTTGTCTCCTTTTAGATGCTAAAGATTGTTGCAGAAGCGTGAGCTCGTCGCGATCTGCTTAGGCTGAGGATAGTTGGTTCTTGGCCGATAGCACGTGGTAAGCCGGAGCGTGCTTGCGTGCTGTCTGACTTTGGAGACGCGGGCTTTGACGTGCGTCGGATGATAAAGAGGCCGTGGCTGGGATGCGACGAATAAAACCGACCAACAGAAACGGAAACGATAAAAAGAAGAGAAGCACCCTGAAAGAAAGATTGGCAGGGCGTTGCGTGTGGTGACGGGCCGGGCTGCGAGGGGGACGGGGTGAGGGAGAGGGCGAGAAAGAAGAGAAAAGATGCAGTCGTGTCAGGTCCCACAATGTTGTGATTTTATTTTGAGAAAGTCTACATTCGTCCGTTCAGACCGTAGTGTACAAAACGTTACATACGCGCTAGGACTCCCCCATAAAAGCCGCTGGCTTAACCCATGTTATTGCTTACGTAATAGGCCCAAAAATGCAATAAAAACCTGCCCTGCTCGGGCACCCTCAAGATCGAGGCTCATCGTCACTCCCTTGGCGGTTTAGGCGGTTGACGATGCCTTCATCATCCTCGTCAAGATCGGCATCTTCCTCGCCCTCGGTACTGCCGTTTCTAGCCTTAGGGACTGGTTGGCCAAGTTGAGCCAAATATACTACAGTTACCTGCGCAGCGGCCTTTCTATCCCACTTCCGTTTAATATATAAGATCACATTCTCACTGATGTGGAGAATACAAATCTAGGCATTGGCTTCAGGGTAAATACGTGCCACGGTGTTTTTTATCGCTTTGTCGAAGTCTGTCAAGGTAATGGTAGGCTTTGTCACGACCAGGGCAAGGCATTGAGGTGAACTCAGTCCATTGGGTGCTATCGACGAAGATTCTAAACTGAGGAGGGAAAGAAGGAAAAGTCCAACAACGCGTCGCGTGCTCGCGAATAAGTTTTCATCTATCAGTGGGGTAGGTGGGGCCTCAAGGAGGCTTCTGATAGGCCCGGGGGTTCTGGGCGGTTCTGGCTGCTTGAGGGCCAGTTTGGTGGACGGGTCCTCACAGGCTTTCCGGCTCTAATTTCCTCACGATGAGCATTAACCTTATAAGCCAGTTAAAGCCCGCTTTGCGTTCATTATTAATCAATCCGAAGGCGCAACTAAAGACTTTGCTAAAGTGGTTGAGGCTGACGAAGTAGAAGAAGGCGAGACCTTTATTGTTTTAATCACCAGGTACCGGTACTAGAAACAACAGGGCGCGCTGCACGCCGAAAGCTGGTGGTTCAAGTCATGCTTATTTTGTCTATGTATATCTAGAAGAAAGAGGTAGCGGTAGGCTACTTATATGGAATCTGGGACCCCTGCGCCTCCAACACCGCCTGTGTGGCTAGAATGCGCGTTGTTTCAACACTAGCTATCTTTTATTTTGAGGCCGGGAACGCGTAAGGCTGGAAAACGCGTAAAAGGCTACTAACTATACCTTTTGGTACACTGCTTCTACTCGGGCCTCCCTTACCGAGAGACCCATCTTTCCATACGGACCGTGACGCTGTTATGCTCGATGAATCGCTCCAAGGCCCAGTTCGGCGAGGCCTTTGTCAGGACATCGGCGAGGTTGTCGTCGCCGTGGATCCATCTGACTTCGTGCAGTTCCCTACGTTCGTAGGACTGCCGCAGGGCAATGATGTCGATCATCAGCCTTTTCTCTTTCGTTGTCCCTAGCTTGAGGAGGCATTTGTACAGCGAGGACGAGTCTATATAGACAACGGTAGGAATTGAAGGTAGGTTGAGGTTTGTTGCTATGACCTGGATTGTGGTGTATTGTCATAACCTGGATCGTGGAGGCTAGTGCGTAAGCCATAGCTACTCTGGCTACCATGCCGTAAATTTCGGAAGCGAGTATACTACGTGTGACCCGCTTACTCTTGGTGCCAGAGAAATAGATGAGGTTACCACAAATGGTAAATTGAGCATCTATCGTGGTCTCGTTGGCTAGAATAATGAAGAAGCCGAGTTGTGAGGTGAGGCCACGGTTGTTAGCGAAGGAGCCGTTGACAAAGATAAAGACCTTTGCTTTAGTCAGGTCTAGAGGGATGAATACCAGCCCTCGGTCCTGGTTGTTGATCTGCCACTCAATTCGTTTGTTGAGAGCCTTGAAGTTATGTGGCGTAGGGTCTTGGTGCTGCGCTGCGGCTGATAGGTCGAAGCAGGCTTCAGGTTGACAGATGGAAGCGAAATATGCGCCGCAGGCTCGCTGCTCGACGTACTGTTGTGTGGCGTTCACGGCGGTGCGGTTAATTATCTGTAGCCGTATGGCCTGACCTTTCTGCCATAGTGTGATTGTACCGGCAGCAAGCGTAGCGATCCCTCCGTTGAATGTCAGTGGTGTTTCGGAAGTCAGGACCTGCTTGGCCTGTGCGTTGAATGCGGCCCTGTTTAGCTCCTCTTCTTCAAGGCTGCAAAAGGACTCGGTTGATAGGCTGATTGTATTGTTGGTCTGCATTCCGATGCAGGCAAATTCCGGTTTTTTGTGCTAGAAATCAACAAGCAGGGGTCATACGTAGATATCCTCATATAGAGCCTCTCTAAGTGATGCCTATGGTAGGTAGCCCACCAGTGGGTTCCTGATCATCGTAGCGAAGTCGTAGTCTCGCTCGCAGAGTTGCTCATAATAGTAGCTTAAGGCACGGCTCTTGAGCATGGTTGGGAAGGTCGCACCGTACTGGCTTTGAGAGATATATGTTACGATCCTGGTTCAGGCGCGCAGGAGGCTGCACGGAGCCTCCCACTATTGGCTGACGCAAGGAAGTGGGGTAGTTCCCCACTCCGCTCAAGTGCAGCCAATAACGGGGCGGTCAGTACGATCAGCATGGTCAGGGCGATCAGTGGGGGAACTGATCGCGCTGAGCACACTGACCGCACTGAGCTCACTGATCACCTAGGACCAACTCTCTGATTGGTCCGCCTTAGATAGATATATACGACGACCGTAGCCACGGTCTCAGATAGTTCTTGCTTGGTTCTTCAAGCAAGCAATACACATTCACTGCACTCATACACTTTGAGTGGCATTCCGATTTGACTGTATTACCCGCGCGATAGGAGCTTGCCCTTTGTTCTATCTTCATAATTACCAACCCCAGCATTCTGTGGAGCCTGTGCTCCCTTACAGACAGACGACCCTAACAGTCGAGTGGTTTGTAATAATATAGAGGCGTTGGCAGCAGTGGTAGAAGATCACAGACCACACTCCAGCACTACGTCCTTGACACCACCACGGCACCCGCCTATTACAAACTACTCGACTGTTAGGTTCGTCTGTCTGTAAGGGAGCACGGGCTCTACAGGATGCTGGGGTTGGTAATTTTGAAGATAGAACAAAGGGCAAGCTCCTATCGCACGGGTAATGTGAGGACCCGTCCACCAAACTGGCCCTGAAGCAGCCAGAGCCGCCCAGAACCCACGGGCCTATCAGAAGCCTCCTCGAGGCCCCACCTACCCCACTGATAGATGCAAACTTATTCGCGAGCACGCGACGCGTTGTCGGACTTTTCCTTCTTTCCCTCCTCAGTTTAGAATCTTCGTCGATAGCACCCAATGGACTGAGTTCACCTCAATGCCTTGCCCTGGTCGTGACAGTTTCCTTACAATTCTACACAAGTTACTAGACAGCTTCGTATCCTTCTTGACAAGCTAACACTCATCCGGAAGGACAGCTGTGTTGCCTTGTCAAAGAAACGTCAATTATAATACCGCGGGCCTTTGTGTTTTCAGGTGCAATTAGCGCTGAAAAGCCAACGCCTCGGCGAACGGCGTCGAAGATGAAGAAATAGAGCCGAGACATGGTAGCAAGAAGCGGAAGAGTTGGTTTAGCTAGTGGGGTAGAGATAGACACTCCCGAGACTCCGCCTCGGAGACGTCGTCTACTTCTGGGAAGAGAGGGTTGTTTTCTAGATGGTTTCACAGGGACAAGAAATCCCAAGGCTCCCGAGGCTCTGACACCTCGTCGACGGACTCGCCCCGCCCAAAGAAGGAAGGATGGAGGCTATTTGGGTGGTTCCGCAACAGCAGGAAATCGCAAGACTTGGAGAGCGGCTCCAGGAGATCCCGCCGCCAAGGCTCGATGGACTCGGATGAAACCCTTGTCGAGCGCAAGAAATCATGGTTCCCCTGACTGTTCAGCAAGCGCAACAGCAGAGGCGGGGGGCGCCAAAACACCACGGACTCGACGAGCTCGGGCAGCACGCTCGGCAAAGAGCCCAAGAAGGGATGGTGGCGTCGGCGGAGAGACAGGCAGATTGACAGGGCAGACACCAGAGGGTCAGGCAACGGCCGGCAAGACAAGACGGAGAGGCGGCCTTTCTGGGCCTTTCTGGGCCTTCTGGCGCAAGAAGCTCAAACGCGACCCGCGAACGGGCATGGACAGGGACGACATCGAGATGGGGAGAATCAAGAAGGAGAAGCGGCGGCACTGGTGGAGCTGCACCCCCAAGGCAGAAGCGAAGATGAAAGAGAAACGGGCACGTTGGTGGCGCTCTAACCTCTCGAAGAAAAGAAGAGACTGAAGGCACAGAGGGAAGCACTCAAGGCAGAGAAGAAAGGCGGTTTAGGACGGATATTCCACCGCCGCAAGCCTGGCGGCACCAGTGTCCAGAAGGGACTTCGGCTGGCGAGATACTTATGGCTCAAAGGTGAAAAGAGGGCCGCAGGCACGTTGAGAGGCTTGGGTAGCCAGAGGGAAGCGCAAGAGCCGGTGACGTACCGGCGCGACGCAACTCGTGAAGCGCGTTGCGAAGAGCCGACGATAACGTACCAGCGCGAAACAGCTCGCGGCACGCGTTAAGAAGAGCGCGAAACAACTCGCGGCACGCGCCAAGAAGAGCGCGAAACAACTCGCG